AAGCCACTCTCCCATGGCCAGCCCTGCAGTCACAGCCTGCGGGTGGGTTGCCCGACCCCAACCCCAACCCCTGGCAGTGGTTTGCAAGTGGGAGGGGGGCACTCGTGGCCCCTCCCCACAAATAGTGCCCACAGCAGGGCTCTCACATGAGAGAGAGCATCACTTCTGTCAGCCTTGGAAAACACCCAAGATGTAAAAGGGCTCTTGGTGATTACCCAGCTCCAGCAGAGCTAAAAAGCTGATTCGGGTCTTCTCTCCCTCCCACAAAACATACCTTTTTCTACTATCTGCAAAGCAACCTTCAATACCCATCCTGCCTTGCAGGAACCCCTCTCTGAGCCCAGGTACTTGTGGGCACAGGGTACCTGCCTGTCCCCACAAAGAGCTTTGAACTTGGCCATGTTCTGCCTTTTGTGGTGGCAAACTCTAGGTCTCAGCCACCCTGATTCTGTTTTTCAAACACCATCAGAAACTATTTGTAGCTACAAAAATAAAGGTGGGAGTATTTTCTTTCTACTGCTCTGCCCTGCCATGCTGAGTTTCAGCAGAAGTGAAACTGGCAGGGGCACAGCCTGCTGCCTCCTGGGGCCATACACCCGCGAGCACCCCTCTGACTCCCAGCAGGTCTCCCACCATTAGGAGAGACAGCTCCCACCCTGCCCAGGTGACCCTCAGCATTTAGAGTTGCTTTCCCACCCCAGCAGCTGCCCTTCAGCTTCTTTGCCTGCCCATCTGCTTCTTCCCTTGCTGTAATTGTATCCTCTGTACAATTGTACCCTCTGCTCCTGGATTACCGGACACACAGGCTCATCCTCAGTAATTCCATAAAAATAGACAATTGCAGTAAAATTGCACATTTTTGCAAGGAAAATATTCAGAGACAGGAACTGAGTTTCATTTACATTGGCCCAGTATAAAGTCATTGTAGTGGGTTACAGCTTTTGTGGGATGGGTTCCTCCTTTTGTCTAGCATGAGTCCCAGTGGAGCAGCATCAATTTCTCTGGAACTGGAAAATGCATGTGACTTGCATGGCTCTCACTTTGGCTTTATCTGGAAGTCAGCAGAGTAATTCCTGCAGAAAACCCTGCCAAGGCAATTTAACTTAGAAGCAGAATGCGATAAAGAAATATTTATGATGATTCAAGAGTGATCCAAGGGGAGGTGGACACAATGAGGCATGTTCCTGAAGCATCGGTGGAAGTTCCTAAAGGATATTAACAACTCGGGGGAAATTCCTCTGGCATGTTCTCGCAACTTTCTCATAAAGACTTAAAGGCAAATATGGGAAAATACATTGTGTAAGTAACCATTTATAAACAGTATAAGAAGATTCACAGCCAGGGCAAAAAACCTGCAAGCAAGCAGATCATCCAGTGCAGGAGCTGGGAGGCTGTGAGCCATGCTCCCAGTTAGCCTGCGTGGGAGCGTATCAAACCTCATCCCTCCTCTGTCCTCTGAACACCAGTGAAGGCACTGTGACATGGACATGGTGGGTTAGAGAGATCTCAGTGCCCTGAGCACCATGGGCTGGACCCCTCTTTGGGGGCCTCCTCCACGTCCTGGGGAGCTCGGGCAAGCCTGGCTTGCTGTAACTCAGCTTCTGTGGCTGTCATGTCCCCCTGGCAGGGTAGGGATGCACCCAGCTCCTGTGCCATGGGGCAGACATTGAGCTGAGTCTTGCCAGGGCTGACCCTGCTGTTCCCCTCTGGCCTTGGGCTGGGAGTGGGGTCTCTGGGGATGGGAAAGCCCTGTGCTGGGGGAGGCGGGAGCGCAGGGCAGGATGTGGGCTGGCAGCAGGGCTGGGGTGGGAGGGGAAGAGGCCAAGAGCAGGGACCAATGCCCTGCGCACTTGGAGGAAGTACGAGCACCACTGCCCACCGAGGGCCAGATGCGCCTGGCACTGCCAGCAGCTGGGCAAGGTGCATCTGGTGCCGACATGGTAAGTCCCACTCTTTTCCTTGGGGATGTGTTAGGGTCTGCTTGAAAAAAGAAATTAGGGGAGGCCATGGCTCTGGGCAGGCACTGCCAGGAAACAGTGGCACTGCCTGAGGCACATGCCAGCCCTGGGTGCATGGGGAGAGGTGGGGGCACAGGGCAAGCCCTGGACTAAGAGGCTCCCCAGGAATGAACTGCACTGCTGGCAGGGGCTCCCCCACTGCCCAGCTCTGCTATAGGCACAGCCCCCCCCACTGTGCCTCACTGGAAAGGCCCGTTCTGCAGCAGAGCTGTACCTGCACACAGCATGCCTCTGTGGAGCCAGCACAAGCAATGTGCCCTTGTGGCTACCAGGACTGCTCGGCAGCGGTGTGGGTGCACAGAATGGCGTGTGAGCCCCCATGGGATGTGCATGCTCATGCCTCTCTCCCTGGCACTCAGGGCACTGCTGCAGGACGGTGGTCTACTGGAAGGACTTGGGCTCTGAGCTCTCATGGCACCTGCTACCTGAGCATTGCTGCCATTGCATGGGGTAAGCCACTCACCACCTGCCCAGTGTGACTCTCCTGCCAGGGAGCCTGCAGGCCCGGGAAACTAGAGAAGGGTAGCAATATTATTTTGGGAGGTCATCAGTCACAACTCCCATGGCTGCCAGCCCAGGGCCAGACCTTTCTGGGCTGGGACAGGGCTCCACCTGCCTGGGCCAGCTCCCTCCAGCCAAACCCATCATGGGACTGTGTTCCCCTGGGGAGGGCCAGGACACGCACGGGGTCCCTGCAGGGTATCTGGTTCCCTAAATGCAGCATGACAGCCAGTGCATTGTACCATGAACAGGAGAATGGCAGCAGCAGGTTCACCTCCTATCCCCATACCTATGCTGCAGAGCTGGACACAAACATAGCCACAGGGCCCACAAGTCCAAGTGTTGGGAGCACAGCTGGGGCAGCACCAAGCAGAGTTAAAATTGCTAAATTACATCAGCAAAGAATCAGAGTAGAAACTAATTTCGTTTTGCTGCCTGTAGGATATTTCCTTCACATGATGATACTGTATGCACAGCGGAAAACCTGCTCATGCCTGCTCTGTTCCTGGAGATCCTCTATGAGCTGGGTTATTTTCAAAGGACCTTTTGTGATTGAGCTAACAGAGGCAAATGCAGAAGTGTCAGGAGGAGGCTGAAATTTGGCTCTGAGGGGAAAACAAAAATGCAAAGGCACCCAGAGTGCTGCAGGTACTGACACTCTGCCCTGGGGGGACACTCTGGGGGCTGCTAGAGAAGCTGACAGATGGAAATGCAGGCAAACAGCATCCGCCTGGGGTTCAGATCCAAGTGAGCAGGGAGAGGTAACATAAGGATGGGCGGAAAGAGTGGGGATAAGCTGTGCTACAGAGAGTGTGTTACTGGTAGTGGTAATGAGCTGTGCTACAGAGAGGGTGTTACTGATGGAGCTGAAGGGAAGAGGTAGGAGAGCACGTGAAGGAAGGGCATGTAGCAGATGGGCTCCCTTGGTCCTTCTTGGTTTGAGGCTGGGGTGTGCAAGGGCAGCAGGGCAGCTGCCCAGAGCTGTGCTGGGAGGGTAGTAAGGGCCAGGAGGTGGGTGGTGGGAGCTGAGGATAGGGCAGTTTCCCAGGAGGTGCCCTGGGCTTCTGTCCTGCAGCCCCAAACTCGCAAATGGTCGGGGGCTGTTGCTGAAGGACACCATTTCCTCACCTTCCATTTTGTTGAACAAAGTGGATAGTTTGCTCTTTCACAAGGAAAACCAAATTATGGGAATTTTGCTTAGAAAAAAACATAATTATTGACCAAACCAGAGCCCTAATTAGACTCAAGAAGGCCTAGATTTGCGTCTGTGATGTCCAGACCTTTGCCTGCATGACCACAGTGTGATATGCTTCCTGAAGCATGGGGTACCCTAGGCCAGCTGTTTGGAGAAAACTCTGATCCCCATCTCACTTTCTGCATAGATGGAGATATGATTCCCATATCATTTTTTGCAACTGTGGAGATACCTACTTCTGGGGAGGAGGGAGGAAGCTTTTTTGTGGCTAAGCCCTTTTTATTGCATCAAGTTGCAGTGTGAAATGCTGTAAATAAGAGCAGGGTGCTCTTCACTTCTGCGTGTGGGTTCCAGTTGATCTCTGGCTTTGTCTTGCCTGGTGGGCATGACCAGGATGTAAACTTGACTTTTGCAAGATGTTGTTTCGCAATGCTGAATTTTACAAAACTCTTCAGACCATCTGTGGCTCAGATGAGCAGCTTGGGATCCAAGTGCTTTTGGGGGTGAGGGCATGCTTGTTGCTTTGCCTTGCTCCAAGTTGGCTCTTGTGTAGAAGTGTAAAGCAAGAAAACTAAAGTGGTACACTTCTGTGCTCGAAGAAGGAACCGTGTTTAAAGAACCGTCTTGATATTTGGTTTTGCCCTTTGGGAAACCTTTGTGGGCAGGAAAGCAGGGCTGTGGGGTTGGGCTTTCACCCCTTGAGCTGGAGGAGAGGTTGGCATCACTGCTTGGTGCTCTCCTGCCACTCGCGCTCTGCCCACCCCATCCCATGCTGCCCTCTGTCTCAGCCTTCATCCCATCTTCCCCACCTCCCTCGTCCTTGTGCCATCCCCCCAGTCCCACCTCAGCTCCATCTGCCATGCCTCATCCATCCAGGTCTCCATTCTCACCCACACTTGTCCCTTTGCCCCATCCCCTCACCCAGCTGGTCACTGGCATCTTTTGGCCTAACCCACCCTCATGTCCCAAGGGACCCCACCCCCGACCTAGCTGCCATCCTTTCTGTGTCAGTCCTGGACCTCATCCACTGTCACAGGCATGATAACACAACTGGAGGTGAGTGCCTGGACATACCACTACAATGACCAAGGGGAGTACACATGGGAGCAGGCCAGGAACTACTGCCAGACCTTCTTCACTGACCTGGTGGCAATCCAGAACAAGCAGGAGATTGAGTATCTTAACAAGAGCCTGCCCTTCTATGGGCGCTACTACTGGATTGGCATCCGCAAACTGGGTGGCACCTGGACCTGGGTGGGCACGAGGAAGGCACTGACGAAGGAGGCAGAGAACTGGGCAGCTGGGGAGCCCAACAATCGACGCTCCAACCAGGACTGCGTGGAGATCTACATCAAGCGGCTGTTGGAGTCGGGCAAGTGGAATGATGAGCCCTGCAACCGGAGGAAAAAAGCACTGTGCTACCGGGGTGAGCCGGGGGGATCGCGGACCAGGTGGGCTGGGGACCTCAGCAGGGTTGCCAGTGGCTTCTGATGACTGTCCTCTGTGTGCACAGCCTCCTGCCAGCCCTTTCCGTGCAGCCAGCATGGCGAGTGCATGGAGACCATTGGGAGCTACCGCTGCGAGTGCTACCCTGGCTTCCATGGCCCTGAGTGTGAAGATGGTGAGCCATCCATCCCCATCCCTCCCTCCCTGCTGGAAAGCCTGAGCCTGGCAGCAAAGTGGGCAGGTTCGCTGTGCTCCTAATGGGCTGGCGGTGCTGTGTCTCTCCCAGTTGTGCAGTGCACCGAGCTCGAATCCAGGGGAGTGCAAATGAACTGCACTCATCCCTATGGACGCTTCAGCTACAACTCCACCTGTGTGTTCGGATGCCAGGAAGGCTTTGGGCGGCAAGGGGCAGGCACACTGCGGTGCCTGCCTTCCCAGCAGTGGTCAGCAGAGCCCCCCATGTGCACAGGTAGGGCCTGCCAGTGGCTGGGGGGCCCAGGGGACGAGTTGGGGCCTGCCAGTGGCTGGGGGTCTCAGGGATGTGGCATTGACACTTTGGGGGGGGGCAGCCCTGCGTGCCTAATACCAAGCAGGGGCTCACTGTGCCCGTGCCCTTCAGGGAAGTAGCTTCTGGTGCCACATGTGGGGAGCAGTTCCCCAATGAGGCTGTGATGGGCAGAGTGGCTGGGGGGCTCGGATAAACCCCCGGCTTGCTCTCCCTGGCTGTCCCAGTGCTCTTAGTCACTGTCCTCAATCCCATCCAGGTGCAAGCACCCTGTGTGCACCAAGTGCAGCAGGAGAACGGTGTCTTGGCACGTCCATCACCCTGCTGGCACCATTTCCATCTCACCAAGCCCACCCAATCCACATTGGGAAGGTGCTGTGCATCTTGGGAGTCCTCAGAGAGGAACGAAGTGGGGCTCCTGTCCCACTGCCACTGGAAGGGCAGGGCTGGGCCACCTTCAGTGGGGGTGAGGATCTGTGAGATGAGGTTAGACATAAGGTGGGAGGGACAGAGCGAGCAGGAAACCACAAAGGACAGAAAGCTGTGTTATGTTATGCTGCAGGGGTAGGGGAAGTCTTCATGTCAGTGGCTTGAGGGTTTGCAGCCAGGTGTCCCACAGAGGTGCTGGCCTTTTTTGGCAGGTGTGAGAGCCCTGCTCCACCTTCCTGTACCACTGAGTAGGACTGCAGCAGCTTTGGCCCTTCATCCTGGGGGCTGCAACCAGGGATAGCGCATGGGATAAACAGGTCTCCAGCAGGGCAGCAGTTTTCCCCCCAGGAAATCATATGGCAGAAAAATCATAGTACCAACAACATTGCTACTGTTTTTAAGGAGGTGAGACTTGTCTGGGTGAGAAAACTAAATCAAAGACATTTCACCATAGATTTGGTTTTGTTTGATTGGGATTCAGCCCTAATCCCTAGATTTAACCTCATCTATCCTGTCTCAGACCTGCTCTCCCATTGCAGCCATCACCTGCCCAGTGCTCAGTGCTCCAGACCGGGGAGAGCTGAACTGCTCCCACCTCCATGGGGACTTCACCTTTGGCTCCATGTGTGCCTTCTCCTGCCAGACGGGGTTTGCACTGATGGGGTCAGAAAGACGTGAGTGCACAGCCATGGGGACCTGGACTGGGAATACCCCACACTGCGAAGGTAGAGTTGCTGCTAGAGCTCAGGATGTGATCAGCCTTGGGGTGACACTAGGATGTTACCCAGCCTCTTGATCCCAGCAGTTTAGTCTCTCAGTCCCCAAGCTCCTGCTTGAAGTGTGCATCTTTACCCTGCAGCCATCACCTGCCCAGAGCTCAGTGCTCCAGACCAAGGAAAGCTGAACTGCTCCCACCTCCATGGGGACTTCACCTTTGGCTCCACATGTGCCTTCTCCTGCCAGACAGGGTTTACACTGATGGGGCCAGAGAGCCGTGAGTGCACAGCAACGGGGACCTGGACTGGAGACTCCCCACAGTGTGAAGGTAGAGTTGTTGCTCAAGGTGTCACAGGCTTTGGCTTGACTCTAGAATGCTCTTGGGTATCTTGATCCTCTCATCCCAAATTTAGCCTTGTAGTTCCCAGGCTCCTGCTTGAAATGCATCTCTATCCCTGCAGCCATCACCTGCCCAGAGCTCAGTGCTCCAGACTGGGGAGAGCTGAACTGCTCCCACCTCCATGGGGACTTTGCCTTCAGCTCCACGTGTGCCTTCTCCTGCCAGACAGGGTTTGCACTGATGGGGCCAGAGAGCCGTAACTGACACGAGGTATAGCTGCTGCTAGAGCTCAGAGTGTCACTGATCTTGGGAAACATTATAGTGTCACCCCAGCTTCTTGGTCCCAACTGTTTAGTCTCCCAGTCCCCAAGCTCCTGCTTGGAGTGTATCTCTATTCCTGCAGCCATCACCTGCCCAGTGCTCAGTGCTCCAGACCGGGGAGAGCTGAACTGCTCCCACATCCATGCGAACTTCACCTTTGGCTCCACATGTATCTTCTCCTGCCAGGCAGGGTTTGCACTGGTGGGGTCAGAGAGCCGTGAGTGCACGGCCATGGGGACCTGGACTGGGAACACCCCACAGTGCAAAGGTAGTGTTGTTCCTCAGTGTGTCTCAGGCCTTGGGGTAACCATGGGATGTTCTCTTATTCCAACAGTTTAGCATCATAGTCCACAGGCTCCTACTTGAAGTGTGCCTATTTACCCTGCAGCTATCACCTGCCCAGTGCTCAGTGCTCCAGACTGGGGAGAGCTGAACTGCTCCCACCTCCATGGGGACTTCGCCTTTGGCTCCACATGTGCCCTCTCCTGCCAGACGGGGTTTGCACCAGTGGGGCCAGAGAGCCGCGAGTGCACAGCAACAGGGACCTGGACAGGAGACTCCCCACACTGTGAAGGTAGAGCTAGTGCTCAAGGTGTCACACGCCTTGGGTTGCCCCTAGGATGTTCTTGGGTGTCTTGGTCCTTTCATTCTAACAGTTTAGTGTCATCGTTCCCAGGCTCCTGCTTGAAGTGTATCTCTATCCCTGCAGTTGTCGCCTGTCCAGTGCTCAGTGCTCCAGACCAAGGAAAGCTGAACTGCTCCCACCTCCATGGGGACTTCACCTTTGGCTCCACATGTGCCTTCTCCTGCCAGACAGGGTTTACACTGATGGGGCCAGAGAGCCTTGAGTGCACAGCAACGGGGACCTGGACTGGAGACTCCCCACAGTGTGAAGGTAGAGTTGTTGCTCAAGGTGTCACAGGCTTTGGCTTGACTCTAGAATGCTCTTGGGTATCTTGACCCTCTCATCCCAAATTTAGCCTTGTAGTTCCCAGGCTCCTGCTTGAAATGCATCTCTATCCCTGCAGCCATCACCTGCCCAGAGCTCAGTGCTCCAGACTGGGGAGAGCTGAACTGCTCCCACCTTCATGGGGAATTCACCTTCGGCTCCACGTGTGCCTTCTCCTGCCAGACAGGGTTTGCACTGATGGGGTTAGAGAGCCGCAACTGCACAGCCATGGCTACCTGGACCGGGAAAACTCCACAATGCAAAGGTAGATCTTGTTGTAGCAGACTTTCCTCAGCATCACATTCCCTTTAGCACCCCAGTCCATGGCAGCTCACGCCCTAGCTCCCCAGCCCACGTCTCCATCCCACCAACATCTGTCCTGTCCTATTGATGCTGCTGCGGTGCTCTATCTCCAGCCATCAGCTGCCCAGAGCTGGACCCCCCCAGCAGAGGTCACCTGAGCTGCTCTCACATGTATGGAAACTTCACATACAACTCCACGTGCACCTTTTCCTGTGAGGAAGGGTTTGTTCAAATGGGAGCAGAGGTGCTCTGGTGTGCAGCCACAGGGAACTGGACTAGGCATCCCCCTGTCTGTGCAGGTATGGTGGGACTCCCTTGGGGGGGTGTTCAGCTTCCTGCAGCACATCTTGAATATTGTTGGGGGTATCCTAGCAGCTTGGGTACTATGAAGTCCTTCCGACACTTTCTGACTTGTGGGTCTGTGGATCTGTTTCAGAGGACGGTGCCCTCTTAAAGCAAGTCCTGGCTTACAGCAGTGGCACGGCTCTGGCAGTAGCTGGCGTCGTGCTTTCTGGGATGCTCATTGCCCTCATTGCCAAGCGGCTCAGTGACAGAGGTACAGAAACACCTCCTGCAGCCCACTGTCACTTTCTCTGGGGGTTCCCAGGGAAGGTGGCTACAGAGTCCCAGGGAAGGGTGGAACGATCAGAAGAGTTTAACGGTGTGACCGCCTCAATCCAATCGTCTTGCTGCAAGGTGTTTGGGTTCTTGGCAGATTGTCCAGCTGAAAGTGTCAGCAACCAGGTCTGGAGGCAAGAGCAGAAAACCACCTTAATTATGAAGGGGAGGAAGGGAAATGCTTCAGCACTCCACCCTTGCTTCATCCCATGCTTGTAAAACTCAGTTCAATTTCAGATGCTGCTGCTGCAGCTTCTCATGTCCTTCACTAAACAGATCTGGTTATTTCTTTTCTATCTGCTCTATCCCTGTGGACATTTCAACACCATTATCAGAGGAGAAGAAGAAGCTCTTGAACCCTACCAGGTGAGAGTTGTGCTCTGGAGGAGGATGGCTCTGCTCTGTGCCCATCACAGCCCTGTGGTCACCCCGCTGTCACGCAGATCTGCCTGTATGAGGCTGTTTTTATATACAGGGCTGATGGGGCTGTGCAAACCCCTGCCCTTCAAACTCCTGCACTCTCCCACAAGGTGACACCCTTGTGTTTGTCTTCCAGTGACCTGGGCTCGCCTGGCATCTTCACCAATGCAGCCTATGATGCCAACCTGTAAGGTGAGCACCAGCAAGATGCTCATAGCACTCCATCCTCCTGCAGTGTGCTGGAAGTGCTGCTACCTGCTTCTGCCGAGAGTCACTTATGGAAAATTCACCTGGGCAGCTATCCTCCTGGCTGGGGTGCTCCCAGGTGCGGACACCCCTTGGGAGGGGAAGGGGGAGACGCGGCGCTTTTGGTGCTGTACCAAAAGGCTCTCTCCTGTGCTTCCAGCCTGGCCCGGACCAAACC